CTGCTAGAGATCAGCAAACAAGGAAAGGACTGCTCAGGGAGTTCATGGTGGGAATGTGTGCCCAACGCAGGGGAAAGGAAAGAAGTGTGCCCTAGCAGGCCTCCAGCGGGGAACAGAAAGGGACTCGGGACTAGAGATTTTTGAAAGTGGAGGAAGGAGGAAGCCGTGGGAGCCTGGGTTACCAGACTTGCGATCGTGGCTAGGTGACGGCCAGGACCCAGTGGTAGCCCAGGGTGCTGTCAGGAGGCCAACTGGGAATGAAGGAGGCGGTCAGGAGGTGAGAGGTTAATGCTTGGGTGTGAAAGCCCAGAGTCTGGAGCCAAGAATAATTTGGTCAGCCAGTGTTATGGTTGTGATTCAAAATGTCCCCCAAAAGGCTGCCTTGCTGCAGTGAAGGCTTGGTTGTTAGTTGATGGGCTTTGGATCATGAGGCTGCTAACTTCATCAAATAGGCTAATCCACTGATGAGTTCAGCAGCAGCTGGAGCTTATTAGAAGGTGGGGCCTAACTGGATGTAGCAGGTCACTAGGAACAAGAGTCTTGGAAGGGTAACCCTCATCTCCCACCCCTTCCTCTCTAAACAACTCTCTGCTGCCTGGCTGCCATGAGGTGAGCTGCTCCGCTCCACCATGCCCTCTGTGCCGAGATACTTCTGCCCTACCTGACCCAGAAGCAATGGCGCCAGCTGACTATGGACTGGAACATACAAAACTATGAGCCAAAGTAAGTATTTCCTCCTGAAGTTGTTTGCTGTATGTTGTCATGGTGACAGAAAGCTCATTAACACATCCAGGTACCAAGCCCCAGAAGAGGCCTGTGTGACCTGAAGCTCAGAAAAGATAAGGAAGTGAGCACGGCAAGACTTCCACAGCCAGCGAGGTGGTTTTGAAAGTGAATGGAGGGCATGTTTTCAGTACAGTGCTGGGGGGCTGTGGGGAGGCATGGTGTCTGGGGAAAGCCAGCTCTGGCACCCCTAGAGTCCTGCTGACACCCTCTTTCAGACAAACACCCCCTCTTCCACCGAGTCCCAGGGTCAGTGCCCAGAGAAGGGACAGCAGCTTAGGGACAGCCATCTCTTGCTTCTCTCTCTCTCTGTCAGGCCACCACATAGTAGGGAAGGGGGTCTTCCCTGCCTCCCAGCAGTCAGAGGCACACTGAACTCACAACACACCTCCAACAAGATCCTGAGTCTGTTTTCGTTCCTGCTCCGTGAGATGGGAATAATTAATGAGAAACAGAGAGGTGCAGGAAATGGAAGGAGAGGGCCACTTGCCCTGGGTCCCCACCCCCAACCTAGAACTTACTCCATTCCTGAGTTGTGCCACTCACAAGTGCCACCAGCACCTGGCTGCCAAGCTCCCTCTCCCTCTCCTAAAAAGAAAAGAACACATGGGCAGAGCCCACTCACATGGACGGGTGTCACCCTGAAGGGCCTGGATTGCCATCTGGGTGCAGCTTTTTAGTTCCCCCTAGGTCCCTTCCACGTTATCTTGATGTAGTGAGAAGAACAGAGATTTAAGGCTCTGCTAGGCTGGATGTGGTCTTGGGCTTTGCCAGGGATTGCCTCTTTGACCTTGGGCAAATCATTTAGCTCTTCTGTGACAAGAATAGAGAGCAGTGTGTACTCCGAAACACATGTGGCCAAACATGTCCTGCATGAGGGAAGGATCAGAGCAGAGGGCTGGGGAAATGGCCACATAGAGGGTGCCCAAGGAGCCCCGTGGACTTGAAGAACTGCTAGGACCAGAGGCCCAAGACTGGCATTCTGGGCTGAGATAAATGGATGCCCCAGCCGGGGACAAGTTGGGGAAGAGAAAGCTTGCTCAGTATGATCAGTCCATGATCCCGCTCCTTCCTCGTCCTTTGAGTTGGTGTGTGGCCTTCCAGCCTGCCCTGCCCACCCCAGGGCCCATGTGTATACTCCTCCCTACTGCCCTCTTCCTTCCTCCAACACAGGCTCCAAGGCTTAATTCCAAAGTCACCTCAGAGAGCCTCTACTGACAGTACTGCCAGCCTCCTTGCCTTCCTTACCGCAGCCGATGCTGACCTAACGACAGAACTTACACCGCGGGGTTGTACATCAGCGTGGTCTGAGCTGTGCACACCTCCTGTGGGGGCTTTGGCTGGCACATCCCTACATCCTCAGCTTCTTACACCGGCACTGGTTTATGAAAGGACCCAATGAAGGCGCGCAGAATGCATGAATGAGGGAGGGAGCGGAGGAACGTATGTGTTCAGGGTCAGACATCAAAAGGTTAAGAGATCCAGATGGTAATGGAGCTGGGAGGACCCAGCTCCCTCTGCTGGGCATCAGATAACTGGTTCAAGACCCCCCTGTCCTGCTCAAGATAGCTCAGGTCTCGCAGGGGTCAACTTTCCTGTAACATTTACCTTGAATTGTAATGATATGCAATTCTTTGTATGATGATTTGAGTCACATCCTGGGCCCCTATTATGCTTCAAGCTCTATGAAGCATGGCCTCATCTTGCTCACTGCAGTATCCCTCGTGCCCCATACAGTGCTTGGCACATAGTATGTGTCCGGTAAATAGTTGAAGAATGATTGAATGAATGTGCATACTTGGTCCCTCGGCAACTTGCCCTTAATGAGCTTCTGGACTCTCACTGCCTTTAAGCCACCCAGGCCCCAGCAACTCTATCCCAGGAACTAGGCCAGGCCTGGGCTTAGCCTGCGGCAACATGCCTGGTATCCCCACAGTGGAGTGGAGCGGGGCAGGTTTCTTTGCTCCTTTGGTTTCCTAATCCTCCTCCCTTCCACAGGAAACCTCTGACCTCTCCCTTCTAGAGATCTAGTTGGAGCTGGTAGATTCCCTTTGGTTTATTCAATCCCTGCTATATGCCAACTACTGTTTGGCTGTTTCCTATCTGTTTTTATATTTTATTTAGATTTCATACTAATTAAAAAATAGCTAACATTTTTGAGCACTTACGATCATCCAGGCACATACTTTACATGTTCGATCAATTGAAAAAATCCCATGCGATGGAAATGATGACTGTATCCTTTTATAAATGAAGGCACTGAGAGAGGGGTCAACCTGGCAAGGTCACAGGTGAGAAAGAAAAGAGCCGGGCTTTAGACTTACTGCGCCACCCCAGTCACCCCAGTTGCTCTGGTCGTAGTCCAGGGTCTGGCTGCACAAGCAGACCTCAGGTGTAATGAAGAGAGGGAGGATGGCTCCTCCCCTAGCCTCAGCACCCCTTCTCCCTGGCTCCACTTTAAGCAGTAACTTGGGAGTTTCAATTTTCTGCCCCCGAAAGTGTGTAATTAACTAAGACTAAACAGACTAAAATCTCATCCACCCCAACCCCCTTATCACTGGGAGGAAAGCCAGACCCTTCCTGGGATGTCTTCTTTCTTCCTCCTCCCTACCCTGCCCTCAACTCTCTCGCAACCTTGTTTCAGGGTCCGAACGCATCCCAGCCCCTAGGATGGACACAGGTTGTCTGAGTTAAGTTCTCATGCAGGAATGCACAGGGGCAAGACGCCTTCCGGGAATGAGATAGCTTCTCTCCCTCTTTGTGTCCCTTGCCCAACGTTTCTGAATCATGGGAAGCCCTTCAGGGGCCCGAGTTGGGAAGTGGAGCAGAGGATGGGGTCCAGGGAAGGGGGAACCTGATTCAAGGTTTCCATTGTTGGTGGGCTGAAAGGGGTGGGCACGCAGGCAGGGGAGGTCCCTGCAGACTCGAGGAGGAAGGCGTGTAAACTGTGCTGCGTGGGCCGGCACCACACCTACCCAGGGGCCCGCCCTCTACCCAGACTCCCTCCACTACATACAGTGACCCCAGGAGCCATAGGTCATGGGTCCCTGGCCCATCCCGGAGCCTTGAGAACAAGAAGTGGACCCGAAAGCTGCAGCTGGAGGCGCCACCCCCTTTATCTAGGGCGCCACTCAGCCCCGCACCCCACCACCCCGGCAGCCCACAATGCCTGGCGCCCTTGACAGCTTGGGCGCCTCCGACCAGACCAAAGGGGACCTCTGGTCCCCGCATTGACTCCCCAACCCCCGCATCGGCCTTGGCGGAGGGTCTCCTGCCCACCCCCTTCGGAGGCCCGGACCTTGCCCCCCCACGCTGCTGCTGCAGGGTGACCTCAAGACCCTGGCGACTTTGCAAGCCTACACCGCCCTCAGCAACCGGGCTGGGGCGGGTCTGGTCCGAACCCATAACCTTCTGACCCTCGCGCAGCCTCTCTGGCTGTGCCTGGAGTCACAGCTCCCCACTTAGCATGCACCTAGGAACTTCTGCCCTGCAGCACAGGTGAACCCCACGCCCACGTAGGGCAGTGTTTGTCCCTGCCTCTGCCTAATGCGTCCTGACCTGTAACCCTCTAGCTTAGGCAGACAGGAACCTGGGAAAGCTGCCCCTTGCCTCAGCGGTTTCCTGTCCAAGGGATCCTCCTTAGGCTGAGAGAGCTGCACCTGCCCCAACCTTTCCATCTGTTGGTCCGCAGCACCTCAGCCCCCACCCCCATTCTCTTTTGACTTTCCAGAGACTGTTTTCCTCTTTCTTGTTATTTATTCCCTGAACTTTTCACGTGTGCAGCCAGACGCTGGGTGGGGACCCGGGACAAATTACTTAACTCCTCTTTCCTCCTCTGTAAAAAAAGGAGATTAAAAACCCCTCCTTCCCTGCTGGATAGCTGTGAGATTAAATAAGATCCAGGTATAAATGGGGTGGTTAGCCCGTGCCTGGCCCAGTGCCTTAGTGCTCAATGAAGAGTGGCCGTACTTCCGGGTTCCCCTTGGACACCAGGCCTCTCCCCTTTCCTTTCCCGGATCACTGGCCCTGGGAATTCACCAAACCCTTTGTTTTCCCACAGGGACAACAGGTGTGAGGGGCCCTGTGAAGCCCCAGATCTGGTCTTCCAGTGACACCAGGGAGTTGTGAGGATTGGCAGCCAGGGACGGTAAACCTGAGGGATCAAGGAATCTCACTTTGGGAGGAGCAATGAGAAAGGACAAGAGAATCATCTTATTGCCTTTATTCCACTGCCGGCCCCACTGTCCCCACTGCAGGGCGCAGGGCCACTTTTTTATACACTCACCCATGCTCTCTGTGCACACACATACACACACCCACACACTCACACCACAAACATCCCGTCTCTGGCTCTGAGAGTCAGTCTCTGGGGGCGGCGAGAGGCTGCTCCTCAGCCCGCCCCCACCTGCCCTTCTATGACAGCACCAAGGGCAGGAGTGGGGGCAGGGCTCTCAGCCCCAGAACAAGTCCCTGTGCAAACCGGAGGAGCCAACTGGCATAGGGATGGGGTGTCTCGTTTCCCCATTCCCAGAGTCCCCTCCTCCAGCTCCTGAGGGCGGGACCACTCTGCCTACCTGGGGGGCCAGACCCCTGCCAGGGCTGGGCCCTGTGGAACCCAGGCTTGCCCCCCCACTCGGCCCTGCCGGGACCCCCAGCACGGCAGAGTGTCCAAGTCCGAGGTTGTGGGGACCCTCCACTGGACAGCAGGAAGGCCTGGGCCCCAGGCATCTGGGAGAGGTCATCGGCCCTCTCCTAATCCGTCTTCAATATGAAGAGGTTTGGGGCACACTTCCTGTGGAGGGAGCACAGGCCTGGAGAAGTCCCAGCGTGGGCCTTCCCCAAACATCCATCTTCTGGGCCACAGCCACAGCCAGGCATCCAAAAGTCCAAAAGTCATTGTGGCTGGTCAGAGTCCCTGCGAAGTCCCTGGGGGGCGTCCCCCAGGAGGAGCTGGGTGTCAGACCTGCACAGGCAGCGTCTGGTTCATCTGCAGCCGCATGTCCTGGATACTGCTGAGGATCTTTTTCTGGTGCCCAGCCAGGGTGACCCCGATCCGGAGTAGGTCTCTGTAGAGGGAGCGCCAGCAGAGCAGGGTTAGTCCCTTCCCTCTTGCCTGCCACCCTGGGCCCAGCCCCTCCACATCAGAGTCACTCACTCTGCAGTCATCTGGGCCACCAGGTCAAAGGAGGCAAACCCAGCACTGACGAAGCTCTCCTTGTACCGTCCCATCTTTATGGCGTCTAGCCAGTCACCTACTGTAGTGAAAGTTGTATAATCCGGGACTGTGCGGTCCAGGAGGGGCTGTGACATGCTGTGGGAGAGGAGAGGGACCTGGTGAGTCCTGTGCACAGGGGGTGCAGGGACAGGGCTGCTGGCTTGGTGGGAGCACAGGTACTGACCCAGACTGGGCACTGGCGATGACCTTGAGGCTGGCGGCGTTGCGGATGAGCTTGTCTAGGGTGTTCACGATCTGGGAGAATTTGGGTCTGAGGTTCCGGTCCCTCACCCAGCAGTCCAGCATGAGCTGATGCAGCGCTGTGGGACAGTCCATGGGTGGTGGCAACCGATAATCCTGCTCCACAGCATTGATGACCTGGGCCAAGGGCAGGGAAACCCAGAGTGAGCCAACCCCTGTTCCCCAGCCAGCTCCCACCCACGGGGCCACCCCGGCTCGACCCCACTCACATCTTGGTTGCTCATGTCCCAGTAGGGTCGCTCTCCATAGCTCATGACCTCCCACATGACAATCCCGTAGCTCCACACATCGCTGGCAGAGGTGAACTTCCGATAGGCTATGGCCTCCGGGGCGGTCCAGCGGATGGGGATCTTCCCGCCCTGGTGGGGGGGCCACACGCCCTTCACCCAGGGACTCGAGGCTGCCCCCCAGCCCTGCACCCCTGCCCGGCTGGCCCCAGCCCTGGTCTCCCTCCTGGCTATTTCCTGTACCAGGGAGCTGGTGTAGGTGGGATCTGAGGGGTCATCCTCCAGGAAGCGAGAGAGGCCGAAGTCAGAGACTTTGCAGACCAGGTTGCTGTTGACCAGGATGTTGCGGGCGGCCAGGTCTCGGTGTACGTAGTTCATCTCAGACAGGTACTTCATGCCGGCAGCAATGCCCCGCAACATGCCCACCAGCTGGATGACTGTGAACTGCCCGTCATTGAGCTGGAGACAACAAGCAGGCTCGGGGGAGAGGCCATTGCTTCCCGCCCTGCCCACCCCTGCAGGTCCTCAGACTGTGCCTCCTGGGTTCCTGTTATGTGTCAGGTATCTTATGTACACAACACCCCCACTGATCAATATTCCCCTTCACAACTGCGGCAGCTGAGACTGGGCTTGAGTAACTTACCCGAGGCCACCCAGGCTTAAGGACATAGGCAGGCTTTGTGCTGGGACAGCTCTAGCTCCGCAAGCCCCACTATTTCCCACGGATTTTGCGTGTGGCAGAGGGGGTCTCTCACTTGCGGAAGAGGATGGTTGAACTGACCTAGCTCCACAGGGCAGGGAGAGGGGTCTGGGGCTGGTTCTTACCCTCAGGAAGGAGTCCAGGGCACAGTTCTCCATGAACTCAGTGAGGATCATCACAGGCCGGCTTTTGGTGACCACGCCCTCCAGCCGGATGATGTTGGGGTGGTCGAACTGCCCCATGATGGAGGCCTCGCTCAGGAAGTCCCGCCGCTGCCTCTCTGTGTAGCCCACCTTCAGCGTCTTGATGGCCACGAACACCTCCCGACGGCCCGGCTGTTTGAGCCGACCCCGGCATACTTCCCCGAACTCCCCTGCACAGCACAGGGCACTGGTCATAAAGCCATTTCTGGGATCACCCCAGATGCCGCGTCCCACTCCAGGCCCACTCCAGCTCCTCCTCCTCACTGTGCCCCTGGGTACTCACCAGCCCCAATCACCTCCTCGATCTTGACGCAGGACACATCAATCTCCTTGGCGAACTCCCGAACAGCCTCGTTCGGGTCCTCATAGGTGAAAGGGTCGATATAAACCTTCATTCCAGGAGCGACTGGAAGGAAGAGAGGGGATGTGAGGAGGCGGGGATGGGAGGGACCGCATCAAGCCTGGACCTCAGCTGCAGGGGGCCCTGCCGCAGCCCATCTTCCGCAGGGAGAAGGCTCAGCACACTCCGTACCCTACACCATGCCCAACCGCACCCCACCTGTCTCCGTTCTCCCTCACCTGTCGTCATGCCCAAGCCTCTCTCACTCACCCTTCCCCACATTCCCACTGCCCTGACCTTGTCCAGGCCTTCAACACTCAGACTATTGCAATAGTCTCCTAGCTGCCTCTGGACTTTTCCCACCAAGCTCCCTGAATCAATACATCTATTGTCTTTCTCCACAGCTTCCCAATTACCTGCAGCAGAGTCAAGTCCAAACTCTGCCTGCCTCTGAGACTCTCCGAGGGCTGGCCGCGCTCCCCAGCCTGGCTTCCCGGCAGCTGTCAAGCCGTCCTCTCTCTGCCCCCACAGCTGGCCACCCTCCCACCCCACCCACTTCCTGAAGACTCCTCCAGCCCAGCCAGGAATGCTGCCCCTACCTCTCGAACCCTGTCATCCTGCCACCTCCTCCCAGAAGCCTTCCTCTTTGAACTCTCCCTGCCCTTTACCACAGGAACACCAGGCTTCAACTTAATCGTTGTCTAATTGTTTCCTCTGTGTGCATCTTGCCTTCTCTTAGGACTGATTGCCTTAGGGGCAGGGGTCACATGTCACTGACTCTGGGGCCAGCAGGAGAGGGGCTGGGGTACCTGCAGGGAAGTGGGGGTCTGGCTGGAAGCAGGAGGGGGCACTAGGAATGTTTATATTCCCAGATGAAGTCACTGGCAGGGAACGGCGGCGCTGAGCCCTGCAGGGACTGGGGAACGGGGAGCCAGGATGGGCACGATACTCACTGTACTGCTGCAGCTTCTCAGTGTACTCCGAATCTGAGCTGTGCCGCTGCTTCCTGCAGAGGCAGGAGAGGTGGGCCTGAGACAAGTTCTATAGCTGCCTTTGCTCAGGGTACTTCAGGCTCACAGATGGCAGGCTATGCACAGGGGAGGGCCCGGGCCTGGCCCCATGGCACCTCTGGGTGTCTGGGCAGGGGCTCATGGGGACAGGACAGGAGGAAGACAGTGGACCGACTGTGGTGGGCTTTCCTGCAAGGAGTCTGGGCCAGGAAGGCTATGGCTCAGGTGTGGAGAGGTGGTGACCCATCGGTGTGGCAGGAGCACTCTAGGGGGCTAAGGGCAGCAGCGGAGACTGGGAAGTACCTGAGGCAAACAACAGCAATGACCACGACAGCCACCACGAAGATGAGCCCAGCTGTGGCCGAGCCCACAATGAGAGGAAGCTGTTCCTGCAGCTGTTGGGCACTGGAGCCTGGAGACCAAGGAGGAGGCGGTGAGTGGAGGGACAGCGAGGGTGGCCTGGGCAGAGACAGGCACAGGGCGAGGGGAGTCTGTACCTCTCTCACTCGTGGTCTCAAACTCAGCCGGGTGGCTGTACTGGCCATAGCCGGCTACCGTACGGGCGCGGACCTGGACCACGTAGCGGGCCTCGGGCCGCAGCCCATCCAGCTGCACAGAGTTCTTCTGGCTGGTGACAGTGGAGGCAATGCCCTCGTTCTGCAGTGCCAGGGAGAAGGAGGCCCCTCAGGTTCGTCGCAGGACAACTGGCCCCATCCACACTTAGGCCCACCCTACGCTCCCCAAGGGTCCCCAGCACGATCAGGGGTCAGCCCAAGGCCACTCCTGCCTGTGGAGACTCTGACCTTCTCAAAGTACTTCATCTCGTAGTCCAGGATGACCCCATTGGGCCGCTCCGGGGGCGCCCAGGACAGGGTCAGGCTGCTCCCGGAGCTGCTGTGTAGATGCAATGTCGGCACTTCCGAAGGGGCTGGGGAAGAGTCGGGTGGAGTCACCACGGGCTCCCTGCACCCTGCACCCTTCCCGAAGACCCAGTTCCCCTGGGACCCGGACACTCCGAGTAACTCCTGGCCAAGCTGAGCCCCGGCCTCCTCACCAGCCTGGTTGGTGGTGATGTTCACCGCTGCGTAGCGGGGCGGCAGAGGGCTCTTGCCCGAGACCCCGTTGACCGCCTGCACCTCAAAGGTGTAGCGCGTGTGGGCCAGCAGGTGGCTGATGTGGACCCGGCGCTCTGTCAGGCCCAGCTGCCGAGGCACAAACTCCACGTTGTCATCGCAGCGTGAGCATGTGGAGGGGCCCCCGGCCCCCGGGCCCCCACGGCACTTCTTGCAGATGACGTTATACAGGAGGTCATCGCGGCCACCGAGGTCCCGGGGCTCACTCCACTCGAGGACCAGAGAGGTCTCGTTCACATTAGAGATCACACCCCGAGGGGGAGATGGCACCGCTGCGAGGACACAGAGGGAGAAAGGGGTGTGCTTCAGGCCTCAGAGCCATCGTGGAGCGCCTGAACATGTGTCCTGCTTCCATTTTCACAGGCAGAATACCCTTCTCCACTTCGTCACCAGGCGACCCCTCCAGACGGTTCATCTTAAGGACTCAACCTTAATGTCACCTCCTCCCGGGAGCCTTCCTTGATTCCTGCTCTCTCCACCCCCTGCAATCCCATAGCACAATTCTTGGGCAGTCTTCTGGCCTCGCGCTTAGTATATAGATGGTCAGTATCTGTTTTCACACCTGTTTCTCCCTCCTGGTTGTGCGTTCCTCTACAACTGTGACTATCTTACTCTTTCCACATCCCTGCACCCAGCACACTTCCTGGTTCACCAAAGGCCAGAGCAGGAAGAAAGCAGGACACTAGACTGCCCTAGGTGGGTGGGAGAGTCAGAGAGCGGCTGCTGTTCCAAGGAAGGAGCTGGGGACGAGCGGCGCCCTGCCAGTTCCCAGTGCCTGGCTAGCAGCTTGAGGGCTTTGCTAAAGGTCAGCTGAAGGGATGAGGCAGCAGACCTGGGCCATCATGCCCTCCCTGTGCTGTCCTGAGTACACCGCCCACCCTCCCCGGGGACCAGTTTCCCATCCGCGGGACTGCTCAGGCCCGCTCCATGCACTCACTGGTACAGCCGCTGTCGGCAGAGTCCGAGTCTGCGCGGTAGAAGTTATTGTGGCACGTGCAGATGCTGGCAGCTGGCGAGGTGGTGCGGCTGTTGGGGGGACAGGGGAGGCAGGGTCCCTCGCCCTGCTTCGCCTTGTAGCTCCCAGGCGGACAGGCTTCGGGGAAGAAGAGGGTGACCAGTGCTCACCACCAAGCCTCCACAGCTCCGTGAGAACCTGGCCCTGCCCCAGCCTAGGTCCTGGCCTCCACCTCCCAGACTGTGGGGGCAGTGCTGCAAGTGCCCAACTGGCTGCGGCTATAAAAGGCCCCTTTACCCCATGGAAACCTGCGTCAGCAGATTCCTCACACCCCTGCCCCCCACCCGACCCCGGGGCTTCCTGGACGAAGACGTCAGCCCCATCACCTGGACAGAGTGGGCTTGTTGAGGCAGCTCTGAGAGAGAGGAGGAGGAAGAGAAGGGTAAGGGAAGAGACCACCATCGGGCTTCAGCACCCCATATTCCACTGACACCACACACACGAAGTTCTGGGAAACTCACTCCTGAGGACCCTCAAGGCCACCCTGCCCCTGCCAGGAGGCAGGGACTCCTCAGCCAAAGCTTCCTGGCCAGCGTCTGCCCCACCCACTGGGAGCAGAGCAGTCAGCAGCTCCTCTCTGCCCAGGGCAGGGTGGGGGCCGTGCAGGGGTGAGAAGGAGGGAAGAAAGAAGGCAGGAAGGCTGGGGTCACCTGGGGTCAGAGGCCTCGAGGCCTTCACCAGGGGACTTGTCCCAAAGAGAGCCACGGCCCAGTGCCTGAACATCCCTTCTCCCCACCTCTTCTGCCAACTATACTCAGCCCCTGGATGTGAGCTCTGCAGACTTATCCAGGGTGGCCATGAGATTTTTTATTCAAAGTGGAATGCTCTGGAGTGAAAGGGGGCACTAGGAATGTTAGGATAGTGGGCCTAACCCAAGATTGCTGCACACACTGAGGTGTATCATCAGTCTGTACATACAGCCACCCCGAAGGGGGGTCACCCAGACCACTTGAGGCCTGGTCAGGGCTGTGTCTTCTCTGGGGTTTCATCTACCCTTGCAAAGGTGATATTCCATCCTAGCTCTTTGAGCCAGTGGGGGAGGGGGCAGAGGCCAGACCAGCCTGGTTGCTATGGGAACCTGTGTGCATTTCCTGCCAGGGACCTGCAGAGTGTTAGCCCCTCTTCAGGCTGTCAGGCTCATCACCCTCACCCCTTTCTCCACTTGGGAAGAGGAAGTCTCAGACAGGTTCCCATAGAGAAGTGGAGAGGGACCAGGTAAGACAACTCCAAGCCCAGATCTCACAGCCAGGTTCATATGACAGCCCAGGCTCATCATACCAAGATCCATCTCCCACCCTCTGAGCTACACTGTAAGCCCCAGGGAGGAGACAGGCAGAGGGGATGGAAGACACTGCCCTGTGTGCCTTGTCCTGCATGCTTCTGGCCTTGGACTGGGCTTTCTTTAGTGCCAGCTACCACATTCCCTAGGTATGAAACCTTGGGTACAGAACTCAATTTCCTCATTGGCAAAATAGGAAGATGAAAGGAATCTAACTTACAGGGTTGTGGCGAGCTCAACTGACAGAGTCCTGGCAAGCCCCGCCCCTGCCTCAGGTATAAAATAAGGATGGAACAATCCCCACCCTGTCCCTGCATCCCAGCACTCTGGAGCCCAGTGGCTTCCCCTTATATGGCATCTGTGCTTATCACAGGCCAGCCACTATCCTGAGACACAACATGCTCACTTCTGCTCCACTACAACCCTAATAAGGCATCTCTGTAGCTGCCCTAGGAAATCAAGGCTCAAAGAATTAAGTACCTTGCCCAAATCACAAAGGTAGTGACAGTCAGGACCCAGGACTCAAGGGACTGTGCCCCAGCCTACTGTGCCATATACCTGCCTCTCAAGGAACAGATGCGACCTAAGGCAGAGGGCTAAGCACAAGGTGCCCAGAGCACTCTCCTCTCAGCACCGGTGCCCATCCAAAGCACCCAGGGGGAAGTGTACCCTGGGAACAGCAACGCTGCCATCTTCCTGCCTCCTGTGTCTTTGCTCAGGTACTCCAGGGTCAAGGATTCTCCCTGTCTCTCTTCCTCTTTTTAATTCTCCCTCTCTTTCCTCTCCAGTACTGAGGATTGAACCCAGGGCCTCATGCATGCTGGGCAAATGCTTTACCACTGAGCTATGCTCTCAGGATCTTTGTGTTTCTCCTTGTGTTCCCTCCCAGCTCCCTCCTTGCATCACACTCTGGGCACCCGACACGCCTTCCTTTTCCTCCCTCCTCCCACACCTGAGGCCAGACCTCCCAGTCAGACAGGCAGCCTGGCTTGGATGCAGTAGGTGGCCGTAGCCCAGCCCTCCCCTGCCACCAGCCCCCACTCACCGCGGCACTGGGACTCCTTGGCAGCTGGCTCATGGCCAGTGGCGCAGGTGCAGGCGCCCACAGGCACCATCCACTCCCCGTCGCCATTGCAGTACAGCTTGAGCGGCACCGACAGCTCCACGGCGTTAGCGACGCAGGTGCCGGGAGCAATGACCAGCGAGGTGGCCTCCGCCCCAGTGAGGGTCTCGGGGAAGAGTGCGAAGCCTGCAGTGGTGGATGCACACTTCTTGTAGAAGGCGCGCACGGAGATGAGCGACATGCAGGCGCCCTGGTCCTGGAAGGCCAAGTAGAAGCCGGCCTTGGAAAGCGGCCCGAAGCTGCGCACCTTGGTGTTGACCCGACCGGCATCGAGCCGGGAGAAGCTCTCATCAGGAGCGATGGTGTCCACTTTGATGTAGGGGTTCTCCATCCAGAACGGGGAGGAGGCCGAGGCCACGTCACTGTCAGCCTCGTAGTAGAAGAGGTTGAAGGTCTCCTTGCAGGAGCCCGGAATGTTGGGGATGCTGTTGCAGTCCCGCACGGTGAACTTGAGCTCCACGTAGACCCGCTGCACGTCCCGGCGCCAGATGAAGCCCGTGCGCAGCCAGTTGTTCTGGCTTGACTCGCGCACGTTACACACCTGATACGTGCGGATGGGGTTCATGGCCTCGTCGTAGCCACTCACCTCCTCCCACTGCACACGGACCAAATGAGAAAGACAGAGTGAGCTCCAGCACCTGCCAAGGCTCAGCACCTTCCCAGGCCCGCTACGAGGGTTCGCTTCACACAGATGCTTCCACCGGAGGTGGTGGAGGACGCGGTCCGCACAGGCTCAAGTCCCAGCTTGCTGCACGCTGTGCGTCTATGCGAGGCCCCTTGACTGACTGTTCCTGGGCCCCAGTTTCCCCAATTGCAGCACAGGGATAATAATGACATGTAAGGAATAAGTGACTTTAAATAAAGAAAGCGCTTAAAACAGTGCTGGGAACTTGGTAAGTGCTATATGGGTATTAGCTGTAATGTCTACTGTCTTTGGGTCTCAGTTCCACTGTCTGTAAAATGGTGCTGAGTGGAATTAAAGGAGGCTGGGAGAAATTACATCCAGTCCGACCCCCAGAATGCACTTGAAACATAGAGAAAACATCTGATGAACACCGGCTGTCACCACTGCCATCACAGTCAATCATTAGAAGAAACGCAAGAAGAAATGTGGCTGCTGTCCCCATTTCAGAGACAAGGAAGCCAAAGCTCACAGGGGAGACTCGCTAACATTCCAGCCGGGCCTGCTACCTGAGGGCAGGGCCAGGGCTTGAGATCCGGTAGGCAAGCGCTCTATCACTGAACTGCACCCCCAGCCCGGGACTGTGGGAATTTAACAGTCAAGAAATGGAGGCCTGGAAAAGCCAACAGCCTTGCTGGGGGTCATACAGGAAGTTAAGAGGTCTGGAACCGAGGTTTCCTGGTTCCTAAGCCAGCCCTCTTTCCTGGGACCCGAGAAGGACGGTGTTCAAAGTACCGCTAGGGGGGATGAGATAAAGACGAGCTAAGGGGAAATGGGCCAAAGATGGTACATGTTGGGTAGAACAGGGGCAACGCAAGGGTGAGGGACACAGACTCCTACAGAGGAAGAGCCTCAGGTCAAGAAGGTGACAAGCAGAGGATAAGGGTGTCACCCTCAGGACACGGGCCTGACGGGTGGGGGTGAGGCAGCCCCTCTCCAGGCCCTGTGGAGAAGGTGGCAGGTGGCCTAACAGCACCAACAATAGGGAGACTCACCCCACTCTCTGGATGAGATGTCCACGCCAGCTCGGAGGTCACCCATTTTGTATCCATGAGCGTCTCTGGAAAAACAACAGAAGAAAAAGGTCAGGGCTAATCTCAATATGGCAGGAGAGAAGTCACCCAGGGAAGGCCAGGATGTGGAAAGCCAACTCCCCCCAGATCCTCAAAGCCACCAGTTTCCCGACTCTTGAGATCTGCAGTCTTCCCCAGAGCTGTCACAGACCCGGGAGATGTCAGGTCCTGCAGGCTGGGGGTGGATGTCTGCAGCTGACCCCGGGCCTGGGTTAATGAGGCAGGAGCAGAGGCCAGTTCACACACCTACAGGCCCTGCTAATCTCCACACAAAGGGGCTGGCAGGGCCTTTATCCTCCCAGAACAAAGGGCTGTGTGCTTCAGACCCTGGGCCTGGCCTCCCCTGACTCCATTCAGCCCCACACACTGCCCAGGGGAAGGGGAGGGCAGTGACAGACCAGAGCCTGCTCCCACTCAGCCTCCCACACAGCCACCTGCAGGGGATAGGGCAGGAATGGGGCAAGAAAGCACTTGAGAGATGGAGCGGGGCCTGCTGAGGTCTAAAGCAGCTCCTAGCGCAAGGCTGCAATCCTTGGGAGAAGGTACTGATGCTGTGTCCCTCCTACTGAGAATGGATGCTCAGATAAAGTATCGCTTAGGGTAACACTGCTAGGACTTGGAATGAGAAGTTAAAAGATGGCTCAAATTTGGGTCTAGCTGACTCTATAGCTAACCCCTTGGGCCCTGAGTGCAATGCGCTCCTCTGAAAAGGAGGGACAAGAGAAAGCCTGGAAAACTTCACATCCCAACAAACTGTTTCTGCCTCCTGGACGCCTTCCTTGTCAGAGTTAGATGCCTTCCTGTGTGCATCACGGCCAGGGGCTTGGTCACACACCTAGCCTGTGTTCTGAGCTGTGTTTTCTCACTCATCAGTGTTTCTGACGTCAGCTCACTCCCGTAGGAAGCTGGTTCTGTGCTCTCTCTCTCTCTCTCTCTCTCTCTCTCTCTCTCTCTGGAAGACTACTCTCTGAAAGACTGTGTGACCCCCAAGGAGAAAGAAAGGGAGGGAAGAGGTGCCAACTCTTCTCCTATAGCCTGGGAAATGAGGCAGCCAATAGTTCTCCCCTCAGCTTCGGGCTGGAATGGAGGCCAGGCTACCCCAGAACTTCTGGAGGTCTCTACATCCGCAGCAGTCCCTGAGGATAAAGACCCAGCCTCTGAAGGCTCCACAGAAGGCCTTGTGGGACCCAGTGGATGAACAGGGCAGCTGCAACTCCCACTGAGGCACAGGGTGGCAGCAGGCAGTAGCAGTTCACTGTAGGGAGGGCGGCTCCCCTCCTGGCTGCAGGGTGAGCTGCCCCAGCCTGATGGGCCCCTCTGACAGACAGACAGAGACAGACAGAGACAGACACTAGGCAGGGGTTCCTCCAGGGAACAGATAGGCAGAAGCAGGGTCCCAGAGACAGGCAGGCAGGGAGGGTGGGCTGCCGGTCGGGCGGGGTATGCAGAGCGGCTGGCTGGGACCAGACAGCCTGGATGGCCGGCGGTGGACTACAAAGACAGTGCGATGGAGAGACAAGGAGGCCCAAAGAGACACAGACAGAGAGGGAGGTTGCTAAGTGGCCTCTTCCCCAGAGGCAGTCCAAGTATTCCAGTCCCTGGGCTCAGCCGCGCAAGCTCACCCCTCCCCCAGCCGGCCAGTCCGCCCTCTTGTCTGCCCGCTGCCCACCGCCCGCTGCCCACCGCCTGCCACCACGCAGGCGAAGGCTCCCAACGCTCCCTCGCTTGCCTCCTCCTCCCTCTCCCTCACTTCCTTCTGCTCAGCCCGTGCCAAACCCATCTGGAACTGTTTAAACCCAAATATTCAGCTCCCTCCCCCCTCCAGCCAGATTCCTCCACAGTTTAAAACAAGCCCAGCGCTGGCTGGGGGAGGACGGCGGGGAGGGAGCGGGCTGGAGGCGGGAGCAGGGGAGGATCGGCTCTCGGCCATCGCGCAGCCCTGGCCATCGCTCAATCTCGGCATATTTTTCCCATTAATGAGGAGAGGACTTGGATTTCGAGTCCTGTGAGCCTGAGGAAGGGCTCCGGTCACCCCCGTGTGGAGGGGGCCTGCTCTCGGGTTCCCCACTTCTCCGGGAAGGGAAGGGTGTGCTCTTGCAGCCTGCCCAAGCACAGGACAGGAGGCATGAACCTCCACAGACCCGGGGTACCTGTGCCCCCACCGCAGAAGGACATGGGTGGGGGCCTCACAGAACTCATTTCTCCGTGGCATTGGGGGGTAGAAACCTTTTCTCTGCTGTGTGTGTGGCACGTGCATGTGCGTGAGTTTGTGCACACAGTGAGGCAGAACAGGGGCTAAGAACAAAAGAGGAATAAGTGAGCAACCTCCAAACTCTCCAGGCCACTGACTGCACCCCAGTCTGCCCTGTCCCACCAGCGGCTGCAGAGGAGGACAGAGAGACCACTTCTAGACACGGGGCTCACAACTGCCCCCTAAGTCACCAGGGCAGCAGGCCAGGGGTCCTTCTATGACAGGAACCCTGTTGTACAGGAGCAGACCTTTCCGGCTGCCAGGGGACTGTGGCGAGCAGCCACGTGGCAGCAGCTGTGTGGCCCTCACCTGTGCCCAAACACACAGTTGCACACTCAGCACCCAGCTCTCGTGGCGGTGCTTGCTCCCCACTGAGAGACTAAAGAGCAACAAGTCAACACATATGGCGGACAAAAACACACAAAGCCACAGCCACCCGCAAACATGCACACAGCTCCTCACACAGCCAGCCTGTCTTTCCCAGACACGCAGATGCCTATGGTACACACAGATTAGTCGTCCTTAGACACTCACATACAGTGACGCTTTCTTACACACAGACTTGTGGGGTCGGCCCATTCGCACAACCTTCCTAGGGACGTGCGCACCCAGCCAAACTGCACATCCTCCTTACACACCCAACTGCACACACTATCGCCAGGCACAAGGCGCACTGCCCCGAGTATCAAGTGCGAACACAAATGCCAGCTCCACTGTACAGACTTGGTGACATGCTCTTACACAGGCGAGGAAAACGACAATCAGATGCCAGGGGCACTGGGACAGGCCACAGCCCCTTGAAAGAGCATGGAGACATGGTACAAGGGTGGACGCCTAGTTTGTGTAAACCCCTGGAGATGCCTCCTCCATGCACATGGAACACACACACACACACACCACGCACACACACACACACCCTACAAGCATGTTTATCTTCTGGGATACCCATAGCGTGTGGAAGAAGAGTTGGGAGAGGGCAGTACCCCTCATCTTGCCTCCAACTGTGGGGGACCTTAGACCACTTTTACAAAGTGGAGGTGCACAGGGAAGGAGTGAGCTCCATTCCGCTTCCTGTTGTCCTAACTCAGGCGGAGCTGTTAGTCAGGTCTGAAGGGTGGGGGTGGGGCAGGGGCACGAAGAGGATTCTGGGTGTGGCCGGGTGTGGCCTTCCCAGGTATAGCCCCTGCCCAAACAGCAAGCCACTTTCCTGCCAGTGAAATGGCATTGTCTCAAGGGCTCCTGAGACCTTGGGGAGGGGGCAGCACCAGGAAGAGATTTAGGCCCAGGAGCTTTAGGCAATGAGCTTGGGGACCTGGAGTGAGGACACTGTGGGCACCCAGGCCTGGCCCTGAGGGCCTCATGGGACATCTTGGTGCACGGACACCAGCTGAGAGCCTGCCACCTGCCTGATGGAGGGCCAGGTCCACACAACTTTCTGCCAGGCCCCATTGCAAACCCAGGTCCCAAGTCACCCAGAACACCCCACTCTGGAGCGGGAGTGCCACTGAGGCCCAGAAACAAACAAACGAACAAACAAACACAAGAAGCCTGGAGATGAGCAAGAAGGGTCCAGCCTACACTCCAGATCAGGGACCTTGGGGTGGCAGGAAGGGCATGTTCCAGGGCTTGCCCAGCAGAGTGCAGGGGCAGGAGGACAGGAGCAGGGCAGGGCCTTGGCAGAAAAGCACAACCTGTAGCCCTGTCTGTGAAGAGAGGGAAAAACTGTGGCACCCAAGTGGTCCCCCAATTTGGAGTCCCTACCTCAGCCCCTAAGCATGAGGTTCTGGTCCCCAGTTTCCCACCACCCCCTCCACTGGTCCCCACATGACAGTATGGGTGCACACACGTGCAGGCCACACACTCAGGACGGACAGTGGAGGAGAAAGGGGGACCCTGCTGTAGGACGCAGAGCCCCACTCATACAGGGCTGCCTCCCCTCCCCTGCCACGGCCCTATGGTCCCCATGCCTCGAACGGTGGGGAAGGGAGCATCTCAGAACGGAGAACATATTTTGTTTTTCATTCTTCCTCAGATCGTGGGGATTTATAATGAAATAAACCTCAGAGGAAAGAGAATGGGAAAGAAGTACAGGGCAGGGAGCCCAAATGCCTCCGTCCATGCTCATCCATTCCCCCACCCCAGTACTGGCCCTGCCAGCAGCCGGAGACTGGTAGGGTGGGCGGCTGTCCTGGCTGAGGGCTCCCTCCCTCCCTGGCATGCTGGCAGCAGAAGGCTGCTGAGGACTGGCCCCAGGTTAGCCCTGGGGCTGGGGGCCTCTCCCACCACATCAGGTGCCCAGCTGTGTGCAGCCACCCTCCCACCCCCCAGCTGCCCAATCCCGACAAACCAGTTTGACTCAGCACAACAGGCAGGGCTACAATTTTCAAATTATGCAGGTCTGGTGATTCAGCCTCTTCGAGCTGTTTAATTAGTGGAAGGCCAGTGGTAGAGGCCTTGCCCATGGCAGGCTGGCTTTAGTGCACAGCAGCTGAGGGCACAGTGGCAGTGGCAGCGGTGGCAGCTCTGGCTAAGGGCAGTGACAAGCAAACTGGTTCCCCCAAATACTTGCCCCTGTCTGTCTGAAGTGCCAGCTCATGACAGACAGGAATGGGGTGTGGGGGAGGGGGTCCCAGGGGCAACTCAAACAAGTGAACAAGGCACAAAAATCCTGGGCCCCTGTCCCTGCTCAGCTCCTGCATCCCCAGGGGTCACTGTGCTGCCTCCATGGAGGAGAGGGACTCACACACTACCTTCTCCCTCACGGACAGGTTCCACTGCTGCAGGGAGGGATGTGTTGGCCTCACCTCTCACAATCTGGTAACTGTTTCTTCACAAAAGGGTGGCTTCCCAGCTGGGACCTAACCATCCTGTCTGAGGTATAAGGGCCCTGTGGCTCAGAACCCCTCCCTCATTCTGGTCCTGGGCACCCTTACCAGCACCCTTACCACCTTTCCTTGATCCTGAGGGAGAAAATGATCTTGGCTTAGCGAGACCCAGGAGGATGACACTAAAGGACAGTAGCTGACAAGGTGGCCTCATTTCCCTGTCTTTGTGGGTAAATCTCAGGGCAATTAATGGGGAGGGAGGTGATTTTTCAACTAGGGAGGGCAAGCAAAGACCCTGGCTCCATCCACATGGAAAGTGATGAGGCCTTAGGGTTTAGTCTTGGTGAACTCCAAGTGTGCAGAAAGGAGGAGGAGCCAGGTGCCAGACAGTAGCTAACCAGTGGGGCATGAGGGGCACCACTCATAGCTCAGAGAGCCAGGGACTAAATAGAATGAGTCCAACTGCCATAGCCCAAAAGGTCAAGGGCAAACCAAACCTGACAAAGCCGGATGGAAGGATGGACAGAGGGAACTGGAAAGGGGATGTTAGCGGGCGGGCTGAGGAGATCCTCCACACTGAGAACCACAGAGCCCTGACCTCTGGACACAGCCCACGCCTGGGAAGCCCACCCACCCCACACTTCAAGCCCTGGAAGAGGATGGGGTACAGGCAAGGACCCACTGAGCCAGCTCTTCCCACCCCTTCACTGCCTCCCATCCCTCCCAACCAAACTCCCTTCTCCTCTCTCCTCCCTCTAACCCTCCAACAGAATAGGGCACATCAATTTCACTCCCACAACCCCCAAGGGTAGTAACTGTAATAATGGCAACAGCTAATCTTTGAATAATGACAACCACGTGCCAAGCACTTTACACATATTGTAGTAAGATTCAGTCCTCACAGCAACCTGGTGAGGTTACCATCTTAGTGAGAGGAACCTGAGGGCAGTGGGCTTGCTACATCTCTTCTTAGGTTCTCCGAGGTTCTCCTGCACCTGCTGAGGACCACAGGGTCTGGGGTGTGCAAACGGGAAGGCAGTGGGGGAAGTCACACCCCCAGGCACTGCCACTTTCTACTGCTGCCCAGACCGATCTGAGCTGCAACCTGGGCCTGACCCTGGCACCCAGGTCACAGCTGAGGGTGGAGGGGCCAGGGAGTAAATGGTCCTAGTGCTGGCTCTCGATGGGCTGCCACAGCCGATCGGGCTCTGTCTCCTTGGCCCAGACAGCCTGGATACCAGCTCCTGGCTAGGCCCTGTTCAGGGGGTCTGGGAGACTGTAAGGGACCAAAAGGAGGAAGAAAGGAAAGAGGCAAGGAGGAAGTAAGTGTCTGCAGGTAACCCCAGGTCACCTGACCTGCGCCACACCCCCCACCACACTCTCCACACCAGCACCCACCACACCCCATACCGAGGGACATGGGCCTGACACACAGGTGACACACAATCCCATAGGTGTGTGTGTGCCTGAGAGCACATGTACCAGTGTCGCCTCTCTTGGGCTAAGACAGACGCAGACTGGGAACAGGCTCCCTGGCTCACACCCTTCGGGCAACCAACAACAAAGCCCCACACTGGTTTCTCACGCCTGCGATCCTATCACACACATGTGGGTGAGTATGCTCCAGTGTAGGAGCGACCTTGGCATGACTGTCTGAATTTGCCTAGTCCAGCCGCTTGAGCTGATCTGTCAGCCCAGTGGTCTCAAAGAAAAAAGGGGGTGGGTGATCATAGGGACAGGCTTCCCTCCCAGAAAGGTTGATGCCTTCTCTCAGAACTGCCTGAAAACCCTTTTCCTTCCAGCCATCTTCAAGTTTACCGAATGTGAACATGGGATGAACCAAGTTACACAGAATTCGTGGTTTTGTTCCTAAACTAAGAAAGTGACTGCATCAGTTAAAGATGCCAAACCTAAGTACTACTGCCCATATTCCAATTTCCCCCAAATTTCTGCTGTGTCCCTCCCTCTACATTCAAGGAGGCTTTACCCCACTCGTTTAGTGACTACATTGGTCGGGAAACAGTGTGTGTGTGTCTGTGTGTGTGCGCGCGTGTGCGTGTGCACGCGCGCCTCTCTATTGTTTGTGACCTGTGTTGGTGCCTCATCCCCACAGGCTGGTGTCAAGTGGCGGGCGTGTAACCTCTCCTGCCAGGGCCAGCCTCCCAAGTACAATGGTTTGGAGCTCACCCCTCAGCAGCAACCTTGGCAGGTTTCACACAGCCCAGGGAGAAGCCCGGCTGTTTTCCATCAGCTAGAGTCGCTCACCGGATCCCGCACTAGCTGAGGCACAGAACCCTGCTTCAGGTGTTCGAGAGAAACCTGAGCACCCCAGCGTCCTGCTGGAAGGGGGGGTTCACAAAAGGATGCCAGACCGCACACACAGCACCTCGCGTGTAGCTGGCGCTCGGCAAACCAAAAACAATAACAGGCCCCCGCCTCCCAGCCCCCGCAGCCGCTCCCTGACAAAGCGGGGTGCAGCCGCTCACACTCTCACAGTTAACTCCAACAGGCTCCTAATCAGAGCCTCCCCCACCCCCAATTCGGGGAGTCCAGCCTCGCCCCCCAAAAGCCCCAGTCCGCAGCCCCTCGCCTTTTCTGGGGGGTCACCCACACTTCCTCCTCTCCGGGGAGTGCCTAGGCCCCGTTTCTCTGCCTGGAGTGTTGGGGGTGCTCCCCGAACGATCACCGCGGTGCTGTGCCTTTCGGGGACGACGCTCCTCCCGAGTCCGGCCGCCCGCGATCCCCCAAGTTTTGTACTCTTATCATAGCTGTAATTTGAAAATAGACACTGAATGATGAAATGGTGGAAGACTTGAACGACCACAATGTACTTGTTAGTCAAGGCACCAGAACCACTGAGCCAAATCCCCGACCCTGTCGTAAGCTTAAATATTACATGACTTTTCTTACAGAGAAACCGAAAATATAAATAAAGAAGAAAATGAAAGGTAGATGCAAGAAACAGAGGGATAAATCTTTTACAAATGGGAAGGGGGCCAAGAGATAGAGGGGAGGTGGGGAGGGGAGGGGAAGAAAGGG